TTTTCAAGCTACGATTGGAGTATCGACAGTCAAGCATTCACGCCATCCTCGTCACCATCAACCTCTCTGTGGCTAAAGGCCATTGGTGTGGCCACCGTCTTCGTGGCATTGTTAAGTTTGCTAAAGGCCTTCTCCTGCTAAGCCCGACTTTAGTGTGAGTGAGCAAGGTACTCGTTGTGAACTTTCTAGACATTAGCCGTGGGATTCTATTATTTTCCGCATTTGCTTTATTGTGTAACTTTTGAGACCCTTCATTAATTGTGTCTAAACACTAGTTTGTAACCGCTTATCATACATTTCATTAACGGAAATTTCTTGAATCTTAACCTATGAAAGTTTAATCTTACATTGGTAAACTTTGTGATTCTTAATGAATTTCATGTGCAATTCTTGAACGTATCACATCAATATATCTAATATTTATAATAGGATTATATAGACATTATCATTATTATAATATGTCCTTATAATTAAAGATATTTCAATTTAATATATTTTTATTACTCTATTCTGTTGTTGATATATATGGACAATGGCGTAAAATGCATAATTCAAATCAATAAAGGAATGGCAATTCAAGCTTTCTAACAGTTAGAATATGAAAAAACTTGATAGTTTACCAAAAAAAATAAGAGCTTTAGTTCTTAATTTAAAAAATATATATATTTCTCAAACCCAACCCTCCCAACTCAACTGTCACAGCTTAAATGGCTCAGGCTGGATTTGAAAGCAACAAATTGTCAAGCATTTAATTCTCCTTATCAAACTGAAATGTGAATTGCGTTTAAATGTTCATCAAAAACTTCATTAGAAGAGCCTCATAGATAATGTTTTGAAGAGACAACGTTGATTATTAAGACCAAAATTAGAATTCACACCACTAAAAGAATATAGTTGTTTCTAGCTGTAAATTGATGTGAACTCTAAAGACGAAAGCAGTTTGATTCGAACTTAAAAGAAACCATCAAGCTCCTGCAGAAATTTTTTATGAGATGTGAATATGAGTAAGTCAAAAATACCTGAAAAGGCATTGTAAATAAATGCGATAATCAGGGTGTACTCCTTCTTCATGGAAGCGGAGAAGAGGATTCCTTAGAAAAGCAAATACAAGTCGAGGAATGGGCTGCAGTTGAGGGCACTGTGAGAAGCCAACATCAACCCGCGAAACTGGACTTCCGCTATCATAATGAGCAAGCTTAAATACATCATTGTACTGTGCAGTAAGAATTACAAGCCAATCATGCAGCAGCAATCTGCCTTCCCTGACTCCTTGCTCTAGGGAAGCTAGAATAACCTGAAAAACAGTGTGAGAAGTAAAAATAAGGCAATCAAGATAAAACAAATAAAAGTAAATGTTGATGTCAAATTAATGGTTGCTACTTTACTAGGTTCCCTGCTTTACTTGACAACTTAACAGGGCCGGGAAAGATTTATTATGGAGGATGAATTTACATATGTTTCAATGCAGGAGATGTATGACTAGTCTAGCCTGGAAAAAAATGGTATGCATTATTTTCACAATACTTAAAAAATGCTATATGTTTGTGTTAGACCGGTCCCGCCGGTCGGACGGGACAAACTTACGCGAACAGAGGCAGACACTTCCGCCTCCTGTACGCACCGAACGCACGCCCGGGCCTGCGTGAGCTGTTTAAGAAGGATTTTTTAGAGATTTAGGAGGGAAATTTGAATGTAGGGACTGTTTAGGTATTTCCTTCTGATTTGCATGCATTAAATGTTTATTTTCCTAGGGTTAGGGCATCTTCAATTTCGCTGAAATTTGAGATCTCATAGGTTTTCTTTGGGCTCTAGCGGCGTCTAGAGATTTGGGAGAGATCTATCCTCCTCTCGAATAGAGGATCAATTGTATATTATTATTTTCTTCCGTAGTTTGTTTTCTTGCAATAAAATTACTATTTTTCACTGGTTTTCTATTGGAATCATGGAGATTTCTCACTGTTTTTGCTCTCTTGATAGGATTTACTTGAAATCTTCAAGTGTTTCCTATCAGTTCGCTTCAAGGATCATGGAATTTACTATTATATGTGCAATTCAATAAGTAATTGTACGTCAGGATGGAATTCATTTTGATTTTTTTTTTCAATAACTTTAAGCAGGAATTCAGTTCAAGTAATCCTGCACCTAAGCCAACTAAAAACAAATGAACTGCAGGAACTCAATTAACTGATCTAGAGTTACAAGAAAAGGATTGAAAAACCATATGCATCATTCACTCATGTAAGAACACACTTCAACTAATGGACAAACGTTCTGAGAGTCATACCCTTGTTTACATATACAAAATAAATAAATAAATAAAACAAATGAAAGCAAAGAAACTTTTATTCAGTAAACAAAAACAAAAGCAATCATATTGCAAAGAATTAAGTAATAATAAAAGGGAAACAAAAGAATAAACTTACAAAGTCAAACCAAATTTCAGAAATTACCCGCCAACAAAATACAATTATGCTGCACATAAGAGGATGGCAGCTGAATTTTTACTAGCACGGTAAGAAACAGATACCACACATTCTTATAGCATGAAAAAATTTAAATAAGGCTAAATGAAAAGTGAACCGTGGAAATCACAGTGCAGTGTCCAAGGATTATCATTTTCTTATTCAAATCAAATTAAGAAAATTTAATAGAAAATTCATAAAGCAAAAGAGCACCTTGTGAACAAGGATAGATAAAACCGTTTCTGGATCAACGTTGTCATACAGATCATTGATACCACCAGCTGTTGTATACTGGATTGTGCGAATTCTTAGCCTTCTTTGTAAGGAAAACTTTGGCCTGAATAGATGCATCAAACATCAAATTTAATAAAAAGAAATTTTATAACAACAAAAGGATAAATTTACACACAACCACTGATAACAGACCATGAACTACTAACTAGAAGGACTTAACCAATCTATGCTGTTCTTGTCAATGAGGGGCCTTACCCCTGCATTGTAGAGAGCATATTTACATATTTCAAAACCTTGACGTCCAATTCACAATAGAGAAAGTAATCATGTTCCAAACCCATCTTCACTAATGAAATAGGTGTGGTTCTAAAAGAGGTGAACATGAACTTAATCCATTATGAATATAAACAGATGTACCTTGAACCAGATTTTGATGCTGGATCTAATGTCTCCTGCGTAGGAACAACAATGCTATATTGAAATGCAATCTGTAGCACAGGAGGTTCACTATGCCTGCAAGAGATCATGTGAAATATATTATGAACGAACAACATCATCATAGGCACAGAATAGAAATCTCAAGGAAAATATTTAACAGTACATGCTACAGCATTCCCCCATTCATATGAGAAATGTCGAGCGTTAATATGAGGTCAGCAACCAATATAAAAATTATCTCAAAATTAATGAAATGACTAAGGAATTTTATTTTTGCTAGTTTTAGGTTTTCCTTAAAAAAAGATGCAACACAATCTAAATTGATTTTAATAAAGAGTCACGGCTATGTGACATACCAAAACTTAACCTAATTGTTGTGAAATAAGAGCAAGGCCTAGGAAAGTGGCCAAAAGTGATGTGGCACAACTAACCCGAATCTCCAAGCTGCTTTCATGCTGGTTACCTATGTCGCATGTTATGATGAAAATATATCAAAGGTTGACTTCATTTAAAATTAAAATTTTTGACACCATAAGCATATTTAGGACAAATAATTTTGCAGATAACAAACCAATATCAATGTTTATGGTTATGACATGCTCAATTCAAGGACTATAAGATAAATTCGAGACTTGCAGAATCTCAATTAAACTCCGCCAGCCAATTGAAATGTGGAGCACAACACAATCAGGTATGGAGAATTAGATTAGGAATTTTCCTTGTATTATTACATGAATTTATAGATGAATTTAGGGAATTTATAGCTCACTTGACTCAAGACAAGCAACAACAAAATAAAACTTATTTTAAAATTCATTTTATGTATGCGCATCCTATAATGCATTATACAATATATTTAGTTCTTAGAGAAATTCTACATTAAGTACATTAGCAAACTTAGCACCATTCCCATTATTATCTGATCCCACCACCACAACCATCCATTACAACAATGTTGCATGACTGCCCCAACAATCAGATTGGATACAGAATATTAACAGCTACAAATTTTAATGTATAGTTTGACATTACGGAAAATTTGTGGAACCAAGTAAGATCATTTTGTCCAATATTCTTTGGGTATTTGGTCTGTATATTAAGCCCACTCATTTCAGAACATTTCAAGCTATTGAAAAATGTTAAACAAATCCATTCTATAGCTTTCTAGAGAATTACCCTTAAATAAACCACATATTTCCCTCCCAATGAACTACACTTCATCAAGGCCATTCCTAGAGCTTTACTTGCAACATTCACTAACTGTAAGAAGCATTTCATTTGATGTAATTTTAGCTCATTCTCTTCGTATTGTTGCAGTTAGACTAGTTTTAGTTAGACGACATGGAGAGGTGCCTTATAAGCAAAAAAATCATGTTGTAAGGGTTCTCCCTGCCTTTTAGAAGAAGATGAGGGAGTTTGTAATGGTTTAAATGTCCACTTTAAAACAAAGAAAGAATTGTGGCGGAATCTTAAGCAAGGATAATTGGGCATGGACAAAGGAAGGTTGATGTCAAACAAGATAAAATCCTTCATTTTCTCTTTGCTTGTATTTATTTTTTCTTCAACATTCATTTACATATTCACATGTTGATTATTGTGGTCACATGCTATTCACATTTTGAGTGGGTTGTTTTTTAAAATCAAATTAATTTTCATACAATCCAATTCATCCTTAGTGCTATGGAATTGAATAATGTAGTACCTAAAATTATGAGTTCAATGATGTTAACCAAGTGTTGGAGATTTAAAAGATATTTGTCCTTATGAGCTTCTTAATGACTTAACACCATTTTGGGGCATAAATATGCAATTGATTTAGTTCATGGATCATCATTGCCTAATTTAACTTATTATAGGATGAATCTCACAAAATGTGATAAAATAATGAGACAAATTAGTGAATTACTTAAGAAATGATTTATTAAGGAAAGCATAAGTCCTTGTGTTATGCCTGCTTCATTTACACCAAAGAAAGATAGTAGTTGGAGGTTGTGTGTGTAGCCAATACAATCATCAATAAAATCACCATCCAATATTATAGTTGAATGAGATCTTCAGTATTAACAAACTCATATTTGTGCTTATTATTATGGTTTGCTAAGTTTGATAAAGTCAACTAAAGAAAGACCATAAAACAAATTCAATACAACAACAAGCCTTTATCTCACTATGTGGGGTCGGCTACATAAATCTTTTTTCTCCATTGTGTCATGTTAAGAGTCTAAAATGTGTACTCTTATTGATGACGTGGTCGCCCAATATCACAATCCCCCCACTAGATCTATTATTACTAAAATTACACTCCAAATATTCAATTTTAGATCTACGCAAACGAAAGCCTTTAGTCTCTAAGGTTGACCTCCATAGCTCAAATTTACCTTCAACTCCCTCTCTAGTCTTATCAACAAGAAGAATATCATCAACAAAAGCATACATCAGACATTAGGTACAACCTCTTACAAATGTCTAGTGAGAACATCCATGACTAAAGCAAAAAGAAATGGGCTTAAGGCTGATCCTTGATGTAATCCAATTGAAATAAAAAAATAGCTGGTCAAAAAATCTTGTGTTTGAACATAAGTAATGCTCCTGCATACATATCCTTAATGACTTGAATATAAGTATTATTAACATCTTTCTTATGTGGAACTCTCCATGGCATTTCTCTTTTAACTTTATCATATGCTTTCTCTAAATTAATAAAAATCATATCTAGATCCTCCTTATTCTCTCTATACTTCTCCATCAAACCTATCAATAAATGTATAGCTTCCATAGTAGACTTACCTAGCATGAATCCAAATTGATTTTGAGAAACATTAGTGTCACGCTGCAACCTATACTCCATAACTCTCTCTCATAGTTTTAAAGCATGACACATTAACTTGATTCATCTATAATTCGCACAATCTTGTGCATCACTTTTATTCTTTTAAATTGGAATTAACACACTCATTCTTCACTAATATGGCATCTTTTTAGTCTTCAAAATAATATTAATTAAAAAATTTAGTGAGTCAAGAAATTTCTTCATCTCCTGAGCATTTCCACACTTCTATTGTAATATCATCAAGTCCAACAGCTTTTCCACACTTTATTTTCTTTAAAACATCTTTAACTTCGATTTTACTAATACACAAAAACACTTCTATTGTAATATCATCAAGTCCAACAGCATTTCCACACTTCTATTGTAATATCACTAGCTATCTTTTCCCATAACATTAGATTCCTCATGCACAAACAAAATCTTAAGATCTAAAATCTTACTCTAAAAAAAAATATTAATATTTTTTAAATACCCCCATCTAATCTTAGAATAATAATTTACTTTTTTTTATTTTTTGTCCCTTCATCTTAAAGTCCAAAACTAATTAATATTTTTCTCATAATAACTTTACAATTTTTGCAATCTAAAAGATCTAATTTTCTTATGAGAAAATAATCAGTCTGAGTTTTCCTATATTCATTCTTATAAGTAATGAGATGCACATATCTTTTTTTAAATAAGGTATTAGCAATTATAAAATTATACTCTAAAGAAAAATCTAATATAATCTTGCCACCTTCATTAATCGCTCCAAAGTTATAGCCACCATGAATGCTTTTAAAATCATATACCTCTCTACCAACATGTCCATTTAAATCTCCTTCAATAAAAACTCTTTTCCCAAGAGGTATCTTTTTTATTAATTTTTCTAAGTTATTCTAAAATTTTAATTTTGAACACATACAAACCTACTTAAGGAGCATAAGCACTTATAATATTAATAATTTTAACATCAGCAATAATTTTTAAAGCTATAAATTTATTTACAATTCTATTAATTTTTATAACATTATCCTTCAAACTCTTATCTATAATCACACCTATAGCATTTTTAATACAACTCCTACCAAAATACCACAATTTAAATCTTAAACTATCAATTTCTTTAGCTTTCTCTCCAACCCATTTAGTTTCCTAAATGCATAGAATATTTATCTTCTTATAAATCATAATATCTATTAATTTCATTAATTTATCTGTAAGGTAACCTATATTCCAAGTTCCTATCCTAATTTTAGATTCATTGACTATCATCTTTGCCCACATCCGTCCATGATGTGGGAACCCTTGTTTATTTAACATTGCACTCGGGCACCGGTGTAGCGGCCCTTGCACACTTGTTGTTGTATTCAAGCTATGTTGCACCGAAACGGATACGCAACACGGATACAGGACACATCAATTCTTAAAAATATAGGAATAGGATACGGCGCGGACACGACATTATAATTTATAAATCATACATAAAAATTAAGAAAGCAATCAAAACATAATATTTGAAATTACAAAAAAAATGAAAGTAATATCATTTGTAGCCTTGTTGCTTATAATATCAAAATAAAAGTAAGCATTAATGTTTAGGACAACAACAAAAGCATAAACATAAATTGTCTAGCACATCAAGTTTCAACTATTCAATAGAAGGAATGATATGATTAGTTTCTTCAGTGGTTTATCTATGAACTTCTATATAATCTTTAATAAATATCATAGCTTCTAATTCAGACTCATAAAGTGAAAGATTAGCAACTTCTAATATTCCCATATCTTCAAGACACTCAAATTTATCTCAGAAATGAGAGAACCTTGGTTGCAGCCGCGGAAGTAAATACGACGGGTCTTTTTTCGAATTTCGTTTTGTTTTCAACGGACACGCGTATCAGATACACGTGTCCTTTTGAAATTAAATAGTCTTTCAATTGGAAACGACAAAGCCGTATCCGACACGTATTGGTGCTGTATCAGAGGCGTATCCATGTATCAGTGTATCAGATACATCACACCTTCATAAATAGATGTATCGGTGCAACATAGTATTCAAGTCATACAACGTGTCGCTTCTAGGGAACGCCCTAGCATTAACATAATGTATTAAATTATTCATATCATGATTATTCGATAAGTTTTACGCTGGTTATCGACTACCTAACGCAACTCTCCACTATTCTCATTCAGGACTTAGGACCTGACAACGACAGTGTATTAAAACAAAATCAATATTTGCAAAAATTTAATTCAACTTCAG